ATAACCAGTTGGGTTTGAAGCTACGCAGTAAAAAGTGCGGGGTGGATAGCTTTCAACGGGTTATGAAACGTAGCAGCGTCGACTCTAAATTTCCGTAGAAAGCGTCCACTGTAAATTTCTGTGCTCTAAGGATGCACGGGGAAGCAGCCATGAAAAAAGCCGTGCGCAGACATCTCGGGCAAAACTTTATTTCCTAAGTTCATCAAAAAACAGCTGAATTCAGTTAGTTGTCAAAGAACCGGGAAAAAGAGTTTTCAACGAGTTTAAGTGCGAATTATAACTTTTAGTAAAATGCACAACCATTTCCGAGTGCCTCTGAAAGAGGGTGTAAAACAGCGGGGTTTTATTTTTGTTTAATTTTAACTGATCATAAAATTTAGGGACTTTTTTGCGCCTTGCTGCATGTCAATGACGGTCGAAAGTGATGAAGAAGATGACAGTCCAAATGTGGACATCGGATCAGTCATTTATGGTTCGTCTACAAATTTGTCCAGTTAGAATTTTTTAGATTTTTTTTTCGTCGCTTACTCTAACTAAATGCTCCAAATGAAGGAATGCTGGCGTGATCGTTTAAAATAATGCAATCCGATGGACGGTATGTATTTCTCGCCTTTCTGAAAAGCGACTGATGTCAGTGTGAGTGGTGGTACTGTCCACTCGTGCGAACTCCGAAAGATTGACATATATACCTATTGTTAACGACTTTTATTAACTGGAGACAGACAGCTAGAATGAGAGGATTTGTCAAGTGAGTGCATCCCACTAAAATATGTAGTATCAAGCTCCCATATAGGCTGTCTGTGGGGCTTCACTGAGCCCGGTAATCCCGTAAGCTTTCATAACTCTTGAAAAACAAAGTAATTCTTTCATAGAAAACGATACTGTAAAGAGGCCGCCATCGATAGTCGGTTGGTTGCTTCACGTGAAATGCCTTATTCCTTGATAAGGAAGAAATATGCAGGGGTTTTATTTTTTGATATAGGCCGGTAAACTTCAAATAAAAGTTAAAAGAAAATTGAATTATCACAGCAAAGGCTGTTTAAGGTGATCAGTTTGACGGAGCATGCTGTGCCAATCGTCGGCGCAAGCTGTGGCTACTAATGGAAGACCCGAGTTCCAGCACTGGCGCTAAGGTTATTTTTTAGTCCTTTTTACGCGTTTTTGCATATATGCAAATGTAACCCAAGCTGGAACGCACAAGGCTCTCCGATGCGATCATGCGTTTTTGCACTAAACTCGCTGATCGCTACTTAGCAGGAATGATCCCTACGCTGTAGCCTAACACTTGGGCCATATTGGCATGCTTTTATTCTTTCTGGCATGCAGGAGGGCGTCAGTTGGGATGAAAGTGGTGCATTATCGAAATGCACAGACATCCAAGTGCATGATCACGAGTTTTTGCATGAAGTTCGGTCGTTTTTTTGGTAAATGCCCGCTTTGCGAAAAAATGACAATACAGATTTCCAGTTCATGAAAACTTGGAAGTGTTGCTCGAACGGTCGTTTTTCGAAAAATCTATGTTCATTTGCATATACGATTGCGGTTCAGGTCCGAGTTGCGAACGATTTTTGGGTTGAGAAGCTGCGTGAGGCTGTGGTTGGGGGGCTCGATAGCTGAGTTTATAATCTTTAGCGTGCATAGAGAATATCCCTATTCCAACTTTCCACCTTGTCTGGTTGGCGAAATGGTTTCCCGCCAAGATATTTCTTTGGAGGTCCCGTACGCGGGGGTCTTGGCGCGTATGGGGAAGATCATAAAACGGGAGGATGACACAAGGGGTAGGAACATC